CCGGGGCCGCACCAGGCCGGGGCCGGCCCGCCGTCCTCCCCTCCGCCAAAGACAGGCATGCCAGCCCTTGGAGGGAAAAAAGAGAAACGGACCACGAAGACATCTTTTTTAGAAGTTCCAAGGAAGGAGGGGAGAAAACACACATAGAAATACCCAAACTGTTTTATATGCGTATATAGCAAACAAAATCGCAAGAGAGAAAAGGGGGCTATCATGAGATCTCGTTTATACTGTGGTGGTGTTTCGTTTTTGTTTTGATTTTTGTTTTTAAAGAAGGGCGAAGATGCCTAAGGAACCAAAACTGCACTCGTGACATTTTTTCCCACCCTGAGAAGTCCTACTTGGAATAGTGGACAGCACCTGCCTCATCCTCGCCTCTATAAAAAGAGAAAAAAAAACCCTCTCGCTGCCACTCCCTCCCTCAAAAGGGCTGCCTAAAGTTATCCAACTAAACTTTCCTTCCTGGGAGCGACCTCAAAGAAAGTTAGAAGCACCGGGTTTAATCAGGGGACCCTGTTTTTCTTGGCCCTGGTAAAGTCATTTGGGGACAATTTGACTATGAAATGGAAAGGAGAGGAAATCTCCGGGAAAAAAAAAAAGGGAAAAGAAATATTCACGGTCTGAAATTCATAGACTGAAAAGCAAAGCCAACAGAAAAGAATAAGTCTCCTCAGAGTAACCCTGGAAATAAAAGGCATCACGCAAGATCAGAGGGATGGGCGAGGGAGAAGGAAGGGGACGGCGCCTAAGAGTGAGAGAGAGAGAGAGAGAGAGAAAGAGAGAGAGAGAAAGAGAGAGAGAGAAAGAGAGAGAGGCCTGGCAGAGTGGAGGCGCGGGCTTGCGGAATGGATGGGCACAGAGAGGCCGGGCCACCAGCCCAGGCCTTCAGGGCTGTCACTCGGAGTGGACTATGCCTAAAGATTCCGCCGCTAATATTTTTTTTATTAATATTTTTTATTTTTTATTTCTGGACTGACTCAGATAAAGGGATTTAGAAAGACTAAGCACCAGCCGCTGCACTTCTCTGGACTTCTCTCCTCAATCCGTTGCCAACTTTGATTGAATGGGTGCTGTGGCCGTGATTATATAATACTGCCATTTCCAAGCAGTGTTTTTGGTAGGTTTTAATAAACAGACTTTTCAAAAGACGGCAATATAGAATTGTTAGATCCGTTGTTGATCTAAAAATATTTGCTTTATATTTTCATTAAATGACTTCTTTTAATATTTTATTCAGAATACTTATGAACTGCTGCAAAACGGTAATTTATTTTTCCCCAGATCTTGTATTACGTGTTTTTTTCAGACGAGCACAAATCAAAATGAAATGAAAATATGGACAGTTGTTAGGTAATAAGGGTATCTTTTGATGTGATCATTTGATTGTAATTTAATTTGAGTAGTGATTCCGTAAGAGCTGATCGAGAAAATAAATTTGTTAGAATGAAATAGTCTGTGTCTGATGCATAAACACTGTGTGGGAAGAAAAGATTTCTTTAGAAAATATTTTTTTACTAATGAAAATCCTTAAGTGATACTGGTGAGGTAATAGAACCTGCCCACCTAAGATCTATGTGGAAATCTAGAGTAAATGACAGACATTACAGAAGCCCCTAGTCATTTTACACAGTAGTCAGTCCTTGTTAATCTGTTCATTTCACATTATTTTCTTCTCCCTTAATTTTAATGGGGTTTTTTGGGGTGTGTTTTTAGGGGAGACTGTCTAAATGATAGCCATTTTCTTGGAGATAGTTGTGTCCTTTATCATCTCTATCAGGAAACTGGGCTATATCACCAGAAAAAAAAAATGTGTCAACTTATTCATTGATAGTTAAAACAGAAGTCCCCAAAGTTTAGCCTTTTTCCTCTTGTCCTTCCCCCAACCATATCACTTTTTCCTTTTTTCTAAAGACTAAAGTTGTGAAGAAGAGCTAACAAGACTATACAATATTTTTATATCAAATATTGCCCATTAATAACTATGTAATTAAGCTTAAATTATTAAGTTGCTTTTTGGTTTTATTGTTCTGTTGTAATAAGAGATTGTAGTTTGAAAATCCTAATTCTGGTCCACACTGCATTACTCTCAGTGTGATTACAAGCTCAGATTTAAAATTCTCTATTTCTGTGTCATTCTATATCTTCTTTACTGATCCTGGTGGTTTTAACTTTTTTGATCACTCTTTAGATGTACCCTGCAGAGTGGTCACATTTATCAAGTTAATGTATCAATATTTACAATGTGGGAAAATGAAAGTGTAATGTTTCAAGTTGCAAGTACTAAAGACTCAGCTTAGTTGAATCCTTCATACTGCATTTTAAAATGTATTTAGGGGGTGATAAAGCAATGACTTTATAGATTAATGTGCCCCCTAATATCATTTAGCTGTCACTCACTTTTTGCTTTCTCTCATCTTCACTCCCTCTCCCTCGGATATAGATGCAGGGGTTAAAAAAACCCGGAAAACTGTGAGAGCTACAAGAACAGTTATTTCTTCCAGAGAGACCCTGTGTCACTTTCATAAATCAAGCCCAGCCAGATGGCCGTGTATTGGGTTGCATTATTTTAAACACCAAATCGTACTAAAAATCACAATCATTTTGATTTGTGAAATCTGAAAAAGGCCATATCTACTTAGGAGAAAGAAGGGGAAAATGAAAATACGAACCACAGTTTACTTTTCTTTGCCTTCTTGTTTCCCATTTCTCTTGCTGTTATAATCTTTCTACTCAGTAAATTTACAACCTGGAGTTGGGGGGTGGGCACAAACTTCTTCATTTTTTGAGGTTCTGTAGGGGCAAGCAAAGAAGGCTTTATTGGAAAGCTGAGGACTGGGTGTGGTTGTATTTACATGGTGGGTATTCTGGCACAAGATATGAAATCCTGTTTTCCCTACAGGACTGATAGTGGTTGATTAGACAGAATGGGTCTGTTTAAAATTTTAGGAGGTATTTGCTTACTCAATTTGGCTAATAACAAAAGAACTAACATTAGATTTCACACTGTTTTTATTAAAAAGCAACCTTGCTGATCATTTTGGAAGAAGCCCTTATTTAGGGGTGGCAGAGTAACTTTTAATTGGGAAGCTGGAAAAGTAAGTTCATTTCAAGTTCTTATTTTGCAGTTTAAAAAAAATGAACTCTGAATGTATTCACAAAATAAAATTCATGGTTGAAAAACAAAGGAGGGCAGATATAACTGAGAGGTTTTGTGCTAAGGCTTATATTGTTACACATGTAAATAATGAAAATATTGTTATATATCACCAGATCTTTTTAATGAATTTGGTCATTGTGTTCCTTTGCAGCGCAAGTGTCTTGTGCTTAGTAAAGTGCCCGTTTGTTTCCTCTATTTCAATCCACTCCCTCCTCCTCCCCTTCCAACCCAAAGGAGAGTGACAAAGTTCTGTTCCATCAATCTGGCTAATCCCAAACTAGGCCCATTTATAGTTTGCAGTCTCCTGTGGCTCTGGATCAGTTGTCCAAGCTTCAGCCATCTCATTCACCCAACTGTCTTCCCCTGCAAGTCTGGGTGATAAATCATTCAAGGTGTATTTAAAATAGTCACTTTGCTGTTGTTGCTCTGCCCTTTTTTTTTTTTTAAAGTATTTAGCCAAGGACTACTTCTTTGTTCCAAAATAGAACTGTTCATTATTGATCTTAGAGATTCCCTCTGCTTCCCTATAGCCTCCAGTGTTTGCTCATTACCATGCTCATAATCTGTTTTGTATGGATGGTTTTCAACATTCAGAGAATAATTGATTCTAATATTAAATGCAGTATATACTATTGATAGTTTTATCGATAAGTGTAATATTTTAAATAATTTTAACAATTAAATTTGTTTTTTAAATTATATATATTTGTAAAGTATTTATCCTGTTGAAAGCAACAATATATTGTTGTATTTATTCGTTTATTTTTGTAATAAATGATCAACCTCTTCAAGCTAAATCAAAAATGACACTTTTATATATTTATACAAAATGCATTTTAAGAGATGGGCATATTTGCACCAATTTGTATGTAAATAGAATAAGATCCATCAATAACTTGTAGCTTTCAGAACTAAATTGAAAGAAGAAACATTCTCTCCACATGGAGTTTAGTTTGCCCAAGTTCCAGGGTAATTAATCAAACTCTAAAATGGATGCAACAAGTATTGGCACTGGATGCAGACTTGAAATTAATTATTTAGGAGGTGGACCTGGGTTTCTTCGAGGCAGAGGGATAGAAATTAAAGAATTCTCTTCTTGCATGAAGTGCATGTGGCTGACAGAACTGATGCGAACAGATGTTGTGTATGAGAAACAAAACCTATACCTGCTTGTGGTCAGACCTCTATGATGGAGAAGGGTGTTGAAAGCGAGTTAAGAGTTTGAGGTTATCAGTGACATGGAAGCATGATGAGGTAGAAAAGAGTTTTTTTTTGTTAAAAAAAATCCATCTTAAAGTGACTGTGAGTGGAGAACCTCTTTTTCCTAGTTCTGTTACTGGCAGCATAAGCTCTGAGTACAGGTGCTGCTACTGCTCCCTTGTTGGTTAAAGTAATATGTTTAAGAAGTGTGGGGGCCACTCTCCAACCCTCCAAATTCTACAGGTCACTTGGTCATCTCAGAACCTCTGGGAGACTGTTCCGAGGGCTTGAAGGTCACCCACGTGACCTTCTGGCTGCTGGCTGCCTAAGCTGCACCGTGGGCTTGATCTTGATTTCAATGAGGAAATCAGAGGGCTCTGGGT